GGGGGGGGGGGGGTATGACTGCGTGCGTCTGCATTCGTGCCGTGTGTGTGTTGTCCGTCCGTCTTGTCAGCGATAAGTCTAAGTATGAGCATCTCCGCAAGAACGCCCGGGCGAGCGTCATCACCTGCGAACAGGTGGGCAGGCACATGCACACACCACACTGGGATGAAGGCCTCCCGCATTCATTCATTGGCCGACTGCTTGATACATACTAGGTTGGCCGTGCGTGGCTGGGCGAGTTCTGTCGCCTGAGGAGGAAGATCGCCGTCACGAAAGAAAAGGTCCGTCCGCAGCCAGCCATGCATGACACAAACCCTTTATTCATTTCTGACTCTCTTCTTTCTCCCCTCTCTCTCTCAGATGGAGTCACTGCTCTCGGCGTTGCCCGACTGGTCAGAGAAGGAGTGGCGGCAGAAGCAAGAAGAAGGCCCCATCTCACCCCCACCCACACCCCTCCCCGGCACACAACAGCAACAGCCCACACCCAAGCCCTCACCCAAGACAGCCGCCGAGCAGCTCTCGCCCCCAACTCTACCCGTCGGGGCGTCTCTGCCAGAAGACAAGCCGCCCACTGCGTCGTCAGCGAGCGATCTGGCCTCCACGCCCATGTCGGCAGTCCAGATGGAAGCTCCGGGCGCCGAGGAGAAGCCAACCAGGGGGTGGGTGGCGCGCTCGAGCGTGGTGCCCGAGGGGCCGGGGCTGGTGCCCTCGCAGTCCAATCTTGCGGCCGACACAATGGCCGAGAGGGGATCCAGCGCGATGGCTGCCGAGGGCGTCACTGCGCCGGGTGCCCCCGGGCTACTACCTCTGAAGAAGAGCGTCAGCCGGCTGAACCTCAACGCCGTCCGGTTCCAGTATGTGCATCCGCAGGGGAACCGGAAGCCGCGGCTGGTGTCTTTGAGCGGTTCCTTCGACGACTGGATGGTGCGGCGGCCGATGATTTGGGACAACGCCCTGCAGGCCTTCTCTTTGTCGATGGCGCTTGAGCCCGGCAAGTACACGTACAAGCTGATCATTGACGGGGACTGGATTTGCAACCCTCAGGAGCAGACGGAGAAGGACTCGAATGGCAATGTCAACAACGTCATCGTGGTCACCTGATCGATGTGTGTCGTGTGAGTGAGTGGGTGGTGTGCGTGGCAGGGGAGGGGGGGGAGCGGTGTCAGTCACGATGGTGGGTGTCGATTTTTCAACCAACCACCGTATCTCGCCTTGACTTGCCTTATCGCTGGCTGCCTGTTTGTGTGTCTGCTGGTGGTGTGTGCGTACACTGTGTCTGACGATGTCTGTCTGTCTGTCTGTCTGTCTGCTGTCTGTCTGTCCTGATCGCTCCGTCCACTGGGGGTTAGCAGCAGAGAGATGAGCAGTGAGGCGCACACGCGCGGAGAGAGGGAGGGAGGGAGGGAGACTGGGGGGTATTTGTCCTACCTGTCTGTTTGCTGTCTGTGCGACACGAGGGGGCGTTTGAAAGGCCAGGCCACGCCGATTTTCGCTTTCTGGGCGTCTGCTTGCTTGGGTGCAGCATGTAATGGCGATGGATGAGGGAGGAGAGGACAAGACAGCTAGGGCGCTGAGTGGCGTTAAGTAGGGTGGGTGGGGATGTGGGTGGATGGATGGCGGCCTTTTTTCGTTTCGTTTTCCGTGTGGGACGTTTGATTTCTCCGACACACATACACGACATGCGAACGTGGAGCGCAGTTGGCCATAGATGGTTGTATGTGTGTGTGTGTCTGCCTTTTCGTGCCAGCGGGCAGACTGACGGACGGGGTATTAATCGCTCGAGCTCAAACACCGTGGATGGATGGATGGATGTTGGTTGGCAGAGACTTTCTCTTGCATTGATTGTTGAGACTCGGACGTGCCTGCGAGAATGGCTAGGCCATTAAATATCCTCGCCACAAGCTGGGGGTAGGCTGGGGGCCACTGAGGCGCAAGACGGCCACGATGAAGACCGCTGCCTCCGTGCTTCTCATCATCAGCGCCTGCTCTGCTGCAGGTAAGGCTCACGTGAATCCTGACGGACTGTTCCGTGACCCGACCGCATTAATTACAGCCGGGGCGATGACTGGAGCGCTGGACGTGACGGAGCCCCTGGCAGCCGGACTGGAGGATGAGCGCCCCAAGTGCAGGGTCATGTTCGAGGTGAGACGGAAAGAAGCAAAAAGCTCGACGAAGCTCAGCTGCACGCAGGCTTCATGTTTGTTCAGGCGTCGGACGCGTCATCAGAAAAGGACGGTGCACATGTGTACCAAATGGTTGGCTTCAGATGGTCGATTACAAAAGGCGTCTCGTGCGACGCCCAGGAGGAGACATGCGTCATCAGTACTGTGACGATGTCGCATGGGACGACAAGGTGACAGGAGACACACACACATCACGCCTTTCTTCGTGCTGTGCTCTCCAGTGATTGATCGACAGCACGGAATGATGCTCTTAATCGGCAGAGGTCAATCAGTTGCATCTGTCTGTCTGTCTGTCTGTCTGTAGACCCGCTCTGAATAACGAACCGAGCAGACCTGGAGACCTGTTCAGCAGGTCGTGGTTGATGGACGAGTACGTCGAGACGGCTCCCAAAGACGTCACAGGTAAGCGCATGCACATATCGGAGCTATCAGTGGCTATCACAATTATCATCCTTCTGTCGAACAGGCAAGGGCCACTGCTACAAGAATGCGGTCACACCGGTCGTGTGCAAAACCCAAACGAAGCGAACGTTCAAGTGGATGTTGCAGGACGGAGGCAAGTACTGCATGGACCCTGACACGGTGAGAAAGATACCAACACAGGGTACTTCTCCACACCCTCTGCTGTGTCTTCTCCAGAAGGTTGAGGTCAAAACTGCAGGATTGACGCGGCCTCGAACTTCAGACACGCCTCTCTTTGCCCAATACGGCGAGCACAAGCACGTTGTCTATTTCCCAGGCCACAAAAGTGAGGATCGGCTCTTTGATGGATAAAGTACCATGCTTGTTACTGTCCTGTGAATGTCCTTCCCTGCAGACTGGATGCCACCCTCTAACGAATGAGCCCATGCAGGCTGACTGACAGCAACCTTGAGAGAGACACGATCCTCATTCGACGATTCATGCCCAGAATGACAGTTCCGTCTGTGATACATGATGCCCAGTCACCGAGACTGTCCGTTGGTTCGTTTGCCCTGATGGTGTGCCGGTGATGAGCAGTGATAGATCTGCCACACTTGGGGCTGGTGGGATGCAAAGGAAGGAAAGGACTGAGACACAGAAATGAAAGACACGCTACACGCAGAGGCCTATGCGTGTTTGAACAGCTAGCACAGCGACACAGAGACGATCTTGCAGTATCTCGGATGAAAGCACGGAAAGAGGCCATGTCTCTCGAGGCAGATGACACAAATCAGAGCGTATCAACTATGTATACCACTCTAGCAGCCCAAAACAGAGACATTTTCAGACCGATCTCAAAGGCCAAATCCTATGTATATCACCACAACGAGGCTAACGACCGAAATACGTCCCAAGTCCTCCAATGAATGTCCCTTCGGCGCTCTCTGACGATGCAGAACTTTCTGACGGTACTCGTGGTGGTGGAGGCGGGGGCGGCGGGCTCTTCCCTCCCTTCTTCAGTACTAGAGATGGCAGTGCCTTTCTCGTGGCTGATGATGGGACAGGAGGAGGGGCTGCGGGGGCTGGCTGCGATGGCTGTGCAGGGCCGACAAGTCCTTCGATCTGTGAAGGCTGTGTTGGGCCAAGGAGTCCCTCTAGCCGCGACGGCTGCTTCAGGCCGACAAGTCCCTCGAGCTGCGATGGCTGTGTTGGTGGTTTTTGCGTCCCGAGCAGTCCCTCCAGGAAAGCAAATGCTGATGGCCCAGGCCCAGGGGTCGACGTCTCTGACTCACTCGGGCTTGGACTGGCTGCCGCTGCCGGCACCGCTGTCGGTGCCTCCTTCGCGGGGGGCGCTTTTGGCGCTTCTGCCGGGGCCGATGGCGCGGTGAATGGTGACACAACCGCCTGAAGCGCCCCAAAGATGCCTGAAGGCTCTACTTTTTCCTCCTCTGGGGCAGCAACAGCAGGAGCGGCTGGAACCGTCGGTGGGGGAGGGGATTTGGATACTGGTAGAGACTGAATAGGGGTAGTCAGAGGCATTTTGGACGGAGGCGGGTGCACGTGAAGGGTTACATGGCCTGCAGGGATATACATGCACCCACACAAAGAGAGTGAGCCGGTCAATACGGAACTTGTTTATTTGTGGGTAGAGCTCCGCTCTCACCTATGGTGCGAAATCGTTCGTCCATCACCTGATGGGCCGCTTCGTGACGCATGTCTCCTGTCTCATCCTCCAGTGGCATGAAGCCCGTAGAGCCAATGTACACCGGCTCTATCGACGAGTCCTCACCTGCACACCATGGAGCAATCGAAGTCTCCTCTGTACGTCCCTTTGAGATGCAGTATTACCCTCGGCGAAGAGAGCCAAGAAAAATGCAGGATTCTTCCCCTTCTGCATGGAACGTAAGCTGACCTGACGACCACCATGATACGTCATTTGATGGGTACAGACCCAGAAGCGGGTGCATGCTTACTGTGTCTCGAAGGTCGATGGACACCGGCATGCTCTCCACCAAATGCACGACCCTCGACCGCCGCGTGCGCCTCGGTTTGTGTTTGCGAAGAAAGTCTGGCGGCTCCCCCTCCCGGCAGACAACGACAGACACGCGAAATGGCACTTCAACTCGGTCTAGAGGAGCCCAACTGGTAAGCGTGAAAGCCTTCAAAGCCACTGTGAACTTCGGCCGAGGTATCCCTTCCTCTGCTGACACCGAGGAGCTCCTCGCCTCTGATGCTGCCTCCTCTGCTGCTTGGATGATGTCACTCCTCGGCTCCTGCTCATCCCCCATATACTCGCTGTCCGGCAGCTCTCCCCTCTCGTCCTCTTCGATCGCCCGGCGCAGCTCGTCCGTGGCGTCAGGAGGGCCCGACGGGTCTCTCTCCTTTTCTTCTGCACGCGGGGGGACATCCGCCTCCTCGGTGCTGATGACTGTGACGAAGGATGAGACAGCGGCTGCCCGGTCGTGCGCAGATGGGGCGGGTCTTGCCTTGGCAAGAGAGGGAACAGAATCTGGGAGAGCCACGGGTGCAGGCGCTTGTTCTGCTGCTGGTGGTGGTGCTACTGCAGCTGCTGCTTTCGGCGGTGGTGTCACGGTCGGAGTTGCGCTTTCTTTCCCCCTTCCGACTGCCGTCTTGATATCGATTTTCTTCACCAACCGCCTCTTCCCCTGAACCGCCTTTTCTCGCTGAGCATCGGTCTTCTGCAGTGGCGGCGGCGGCATGCTCGTCACTTGTGGGGGCGGGAGGGAGGGGGCAGGGGTGGGAAGGAGAAGCGAGGCGTCCTTGACGATCTGTAAGATGCGCTCGACGGGGGCGGCGGCAGCGGCAGCGGCAGCGGCAGCAACAGGGGGCGAGACCGGTGGAGGGGAGGGCAGCGGAGGGGGCGATGAGGGCGGTGGCGGGCTGACAGGTGTCTCGGTCTGCGTGCCGCTCTCCTCGACTTTTGGTGAGGCTGCCCATGTCGTGCACTCAGCAATGGACTGGTAGACATCCTCGATGCGTGAGTCCAGAGGTCGGAGGGTGGAGAGACACCTGCAGAAGCACCCATCCAACAGGGATCGCAAAAGGGTGCATTGAAAGCGATTGGACGTCTCCAGACCTGAGGAGCAGCTGAGCGGTGTCATTTGGGTCAACGAGCCACCCAGTGGTGATGGCAGGGACCAGGACCTCATGCGCTATCCTCTCAATCGCCTCCAGCATGGCATCCTGGTGGTCGCGGTGACGACTGATGCGATGCAACAAGGTCTGGGGAGGGACCCATACATGCAGCAAAAAGGTCGCCGCTATGTGCTGCTTCTCTTGGCTCGTGTGTGTGTCTGTCGTCTCACGTGTATGTTGGATTCGTTGTCGGTCTGTCGCTCCCTCTGCAGCCGAGAAAACTGCTCCCGAAGATGGGACTCTGAGACCTGGTGACGGTGGCACTCTAGAACACATATGGAAATGCTGGGTGAAGCCACGGAACGAATGAATGTGTTGGTGCGTGAACTCACCTGATTTAGAAACCGACAGCTCATGTGCCTGAAAGCAGACGTACAGACAGACACCTTCATGCCAAACATTTCTCGTGAGCATGGCTCAGCTCACCAGGGCTTCGCTTTGCCTCCTCTGATCCTTGAGCAGCAGCAGCGTCTCGAAAAAGGCTGATGCCGTGACGCGTCCGCATTCAGCATCCGTCGGCAAGCCACTGGTCGGCATGGCCAGCCACGACGCGTTGGCGTACATGCTATGGCGCTCTTCCGGATCCAAGGCTCGAGAGCCCCATTGCATGGCATGCATTTGCGATCGCGAGCTCGCAAATGGTCCGCTTTCCTCTTCTCCTTTCCCCTTCTCCCCCCTCTCCGCTCGACATGTAGAGATCATCTCTTTTTCCCGAGATCGTCGATGACTGATCTCAAGGCGTCTGATCTCGTCTGGGCAACGGCAAAGTGCGCCGTGGTCATCGGCGCCGGCAGTGTGTCGGCATGTGTGGTCGGCCAGTGCGTCTGCTCCGTCACCCGCTACTTGATGCGCAACAGAGAGTACAAAGACCTGCCGCCCAGGAAGGGGCTCATGCCGTTCGTGCGGGCGTTTGCGTCGGGAGAGAGCAAGGGCCAGTCCATAGATGGGCTGCTCGATGACTGGCGGTAAGTGAGAAAACGAACGGGGGCAGAAGACGCAAGGCAATGAATAAATCTCTGTCTGTCTGTCTGTCTGTCTGTCTGGCTGTGCCAGGGATCCCGACCATCCGGATCAGTTCCTGGAGGTACGCACATGTGTGGTGCACACGCGCAATGGCAGCTAGGCAGAAAAGAGTCGACACCCGGCATAGTGACCCTTGTCGGTCTGTGTTGTGTTTTGTATCGGTCTGTCTGGCAGGTGGTGGACATCGGTCCTGACTTCGCGGGCCGGCGATTGGTGGGCCTCAACCAGCCGGCCGCCATCGCCGAGGTGCTCGCAGATCAGGACAAATACCCCAAGGCACCATTGATCGAGACGCTCGTGGAGATAGCGGGATATGGGTGAGGGAATGAGCAAAGGACGGGAAGCAGGCTTGCCTGTCTGCTTGCGGACTCATGAGTTGTGCTGGTGCTGGTGATGGTGTTTGTTTCTGTCAGGCTGGCGACGTCTAGTGGTGCGCTGTGGCATCGCCAGAGGAAGCTGCTATCGCCGCTGTTCCACTTCGGCGCACTCAGGGTGGCGCACAAGTTCATGGCGAGGAATGCCGACAGGCTGGTGCAGCAGCTGCTGGATGATGCCGCCAAGAGCGCCGACGGCACGGCAACCATAAACAGACATCAAATCAGGTGAGAGCATCGGTGGGGGATGGATGGATGGATGGATGGATGGATGACGTGCAGACACGCTGGATTGTCCTCTGTGCTTTTGGCCATGCAGCGACCTCATGCTGCGCATTGTCGTGGACGCGGCCTTCTCCAGATGTGACTTCGATGTCGAGTGGTTCTCGTGGGCGTGCCAGAAGATCGACAACCCCATGTACTGGCTCGGCAGACAAGTGCTGGGTAGGTCGGCAGACAGACAGGCAGGCAGCAGACAGACCATACACACACATAAGCAAGCCTTCATGGGTATTGGTCTCTTTATGCGCCTCGTCAGGTCACGCGTGGATGTACGTGCCCCTGCCGTCCGGCCTGGGTATTCAGATCCTCGTCAAGTAAACACACACGGGGACACCGACAGAGGGAGGAGGGATACATGCGTGTGTGTGTGTGCCATCCGTCCGTCAGGCGTATGCGTCGTCGGATCATGTGCGAAATAGCCCACCGGCGCGGCGCTGGTGCAGCGGCCGGACTGTCGGTTGACACGAAGGACCTGCTGGACGAGCTCATGGCTGTGGGCGACATGCCCGACCGACAAATCGTCGACGAGGCGCTCATCTTCCTCATCGCAGGTCGGTGGGCTGGGTAGCCAGGGCGCGGACAGAGTCATGCGCATGATGATTGTTGTCTAGGCCACGACACGACAAGCAACTTGGTCGCGTGGACGCTGTACTTCCTCTCAAAACACCAAGACGTCCAGGTGGGTCATCCGACAGCACACTTGATTGAAGTCACTGTGCAGATGGCGGCACACACCTGGCCATTCATGTGTGTCCGGGAGTGTGTGTGTGTGTGTGTGTAGGGTAAGGTCCAGAGTGAGATTGATGATTTGGGTGGGCGGCCCATCACGTTCGACGATTTGCCCAAACTGGAATACCTCAGATGCGTCCTCAAAGAAGTCTCGAGGTCAGTCAATTGCAGAGCGAGATACACGCACACACAAACATGTCACTGGTGCCACCGACTGTGGGTGCCCTTCCCCTGCCTCCCTGCCTCCTTCCCTCTCTGTGTGTGTGTGGTGGTGCGTCCAGGGTGCGTCCGGTGGTGCCCTTCCTCGAGCGTCTTCTGAAAGTGCCACTCGAAGTCAACGGCATCACTCTGCCCAAAGGTAGGTACCCCTTGGCTTGGCGCAGCGCACCCATTCCGACAGACACGTGGATGCGGCAATTGAGGCAGACAGTGCGCGTCTCTCTCCTTGGTGCAGGCACGATTGTCTGGCTGAACTTCATGGCAGTGCACCACGACGCTCGCTACTGGCCGGCGCCCTCTGTGTTTCGCCCGGAGCGGTGGATGGAGGGCACTGAGGGCACATCGCAGCCAATGGCACACTCACACGCATTCCTACCATTCGGCGCGGGCCCCAGGAACTGCATCGGACAGAAGTTCGCCATGTGAGCTGAGCGATGAGAACCGAAACATAGAAAAGGCATGGATGTCACGCAGCCGCTGTCTGTTGTGTCTTCTGCTGCGTCGTGGTGTGTGTGTGTCAGGCAAGAGGCGCAGGTGGTCATCGCGTCTGTGTTGCGATCCTTCTCGGTCAGCCTTGACGGCGAAGATCGGGTGGTGCCGGTGCTCGCCCTCAACATAGCACCGGCCAACCTCGCCCTGCGTGTCAGAAAGAGACGCACATGAGCTGCTGACTGAACGGGGCAGCTCTCATACATACCAGCTGAGAGGGAGGGAGGGATGATGGGCAGCTGAGGAGGGAATGAGGGGCACACACTGCCCATATCATATGTGGATGGATGGATCTGTCTGTTGCTGTTCTTGGGTCTGTGACACTTTGTCGGTTTTTGGGTACTGTACGTGCATCTCAGACCTCTTTTTTGGTGCTCGTTAGCTCGTTCGTCTATCCGGACACTGCATGTCTGCATGTCGTTTCTGTGTGTTTATCCTCGCCTGCCTCCTTTCTGGTGTGGTGTGGTTCTGTCTTGTCTTTGTGGACACGGGGACGGTCCGGGTTGACAACTGGCGGCTGCCTGTCTTTTCGTGTCTCTGTCTGGCTCTTTGTCGTTTTTCCAGTCGCGTGCAGCTCGGTGACCTTTTTTCGTGCATGAGGCTCATACTGTTGACGTCAGGATGGATGTCAATCAGCGATATGTACCATGTACCGAGACACATACCCAATTTGAAACATTCATTCAGCTGGATGCCGTTCAGGCACCACACACTATAAGTACACGTGCTGTCCATGAAGAGCCAGCTACAGAGAATCGGTGCGCACACGAACACACACACAGACAGACACACACACACACACACAGAGAGAGAGAGAGAGAGGTAGGTTTGGCTGGTTGGTCAAAAATGTATGCAAATGTGCAATGTAACAGTCGCAGCAGATATAAAATGTAGGCAGCGATAAGTAAGAGAGCCCCACTGATGAATACCAGTGTGTACAATGTGGCCACGTCCAGACGCGCCCGAGGCACCACCTCACGCACGCCGAGGCGCCTGTGCCGGCCACCCTCTCTCACCCACCGCCTGCCCGCCTTGCCCAGCCCCGGTCACTTCCACCACACTCTTCCACCACTGCACCAGCACTGCCACCATCCGTCCGCCCTTGCCAATCTCGGCGTTGCCCACCACCTCTCGATTGCTGGCCGTCCTGGTGGCTGCCTGCTTGACGAAATGGTCGACGGCAGCACTCACGCGGCGTTTGAGAAGCGAATCGGCACGGGCAGCCGACGGGTCGTGGAGGAACGAGCCGACCTTGCATGCGATTGCCATCGCCTCCTGTGGGCCGAATGTGAAGCTGGACGGGGAGGGATGAGGGTGAGCGCCATCGTGGTGGGGCACCGCGGGCAGCAGGCAGCCGAGGCCTGAACCTGCAGCCCGCACAGACAGGCACACAGGGAGAGCGAGACGATGCCCTGACGATCAATAGCAAAGGTTGCTGACCATGGATGCTGAAGTACGGCGGCGGTGGTTGGCCTCTGCAGTGGGTCGTTGGCCGTCATCCATCCGATGAGGGCCTTCATGTCGGCGGATATGTCACGATAAAATGGCCCGGCCTGAATGCACGGCGCAATGGCATGGATACACATGCTCACATTTATAGTTGGCTGCCCACTAACCGGCTCTACGGTGTTTGCCTCCCTGTCTTGCACTGATACCCCCATATCTCCGTCACTCGGCCGTCGTCACATATGAAGATGAAGAGGTCATGCAAGGGGGAAGCTGCTGACGGCGGGCTAGTTCGAGGTCCATTGTGGCCATAGTCCATGAGCAAACGAAGCATCCGCCCCAATGAGAAGACCGTCGCCTTTTCCGCCGCGAACACGCGATAGCAGCATAATGTCTGCACGCACAATAGAGGATGCGCATGGATGTATGTCCTCTAGATTTCTGCTAGCTGACCTCGGGCGCCATGAAAAACCTCACACCCCGAGCCTCCTCGCCGCCGTACACGAGCCCACCCTGTTTGTGTCAGTCAAGACACACATCCACATATCCGACATACACGTATTTCATCATTTAGACATTAAGTACGTGTTTTGGATCGAAGAAAGGTGCGTTGTCGAAGTCGATCAGCTTTGGCATGTTCTTGGCGTCGAACAGAATCTTATCAAGGTGCTGATCTCTGAATGATACCACGACACACGCCACATGCGACACACGAATGCATGATGCGTACGTGTGCCTGCCAACGTACCCGTGGTAAATGCCCTTCTGGATGACAGGCGTCATCCACTGGCGTGCCACGTCCTCACTGATGCAGGACTTGTAGGCCTCGTCTCGATGGCGCTCCTCAAGTCTGTACAGCAGGCTCCCGCCTGGCAGCATGTCGGTCTCCAGGTAGCTGACCTCGGCGAAGTGATCAACCTACAGCATTCATCCACCCATGCATTGAGTGTGTGTGTGTGTCTAAATGGTTGCTTACCGCATACAACTCGGCCACCCCCGGTATGTCCTTGGCAGCCTCCATGATGGAGATCTCACGCTGGACATCACCCATAAAGTCGGCCTCGTGCATCATGCGCAGGGCCACCACCTTGTCGTCCTTGTCGTGCTTCACCCCACTCCGTGGGCTTCTTCCTGAGTGCTGTGGTTACTTTTGCGATCGTATTCCACGTGTCAGGGAGGCCACGCTGCAGGGCAAATGCCACGACACCCAGCGCCTTGAAAAAAGCCGCGAGGCCCTCCTGCAGCGGGGCGGCCTACTGCACAAAGAGTACGGAAGCATCAGAATGCACGTAAACGCGTCGATGGGTCACTCACCACATCTCCATGTCGTCTCCCATCAGCGATGCGTGAGATGAGGACACTCAGGAATCGCTCATGGCCATAGTCAGCATTCTGAATGCACACAACACACAAATACGCATCCAATCGTGGCTGCCTATTGGGAGTACTGCACGTTGTTGTACTATCGTATCAGATTGTCGAGCTCGATCCCAGGCGCCCCACGTCGCGTCAAGAGGCCAGGGGAGACCGGCACGCAGCACTCGGGTCCACGGCGAAGAGAAGGGCGATGAGACGCGGCAGCTGAAGGGAACAAAACATGCAGAGAAGGATTTCTTTTGTGTACTTTTGTGCCTGTTTGTGCGTCTGTCTGTCTGTTATCACTGACCGGTATGCGTACCTGGCACAACAGTGAGGCCTCGAGAAAGCATCTCCCTCGTTGCCACCAGCCGCCGCTCTCTGCAGAGCTCGCGGGCGGCGAGGTCTTCGAGTACGCCCGGCGACGAATTGATCAGCACACGCAACAACCTGAAACAGAACTCCTCCGTTGTCAACTTCGACCCCACTCATTGATTCACTTAGAGGGGGGAGGTGCTGATTGCTGGAAGGCGTGGAAACAACTTGAGGAGTGAGTCCATCTTGCACACCGCGGAGCGGAGTCGCGGTGAAATCAACCGAAGAACGAAATTAGCCGTCCTGTACAGGCCCTACGATTTCCTCATCCTCGTCGCGCCCGCTCCGGCGGCCGGGCAAGCCCTTCACGTACTTGTTGCAGCGAAGAGCGCCATCATCGACCCGCTCGCCCTGGTCTTTGTGTCGTCGCTGCAATTGTGGGACAAAACCGTCTCCTGTCTGCACCTCGGGCGAGAATTCCTGTCATCGAGATTTCTCGCCGCCTTCATGCGGCCTCCTCACTATCCACGGTTGGAGGAAGCTATGAATGCGATCCATCCCTTGCGAGCTTGAAATCGCAAGAATCGGCTCTTCCCCGGCAGCGCTTCTTCAGGCGCAGACCTGCCTCACTGAGCCTTCTCCATCCGTTTCTCTCTGACTGATCTGCGCAGAATGGCGAGATCTTGTTTGTGGATGCGGCTATTCGGTTGAGCCTTATCTTTCCTCGACGCAGGCTGTGGAGATGACCACAGGCGGCAGCACGTCCGAGCCTCGACAGCAGAAGAAGAATATATGGCGACGAATGGTGACAAAGAGCACACGCGAGCACACAGCAGTCTTCATTCTCCCTGTGTGTGTCCATTGTGTGTCCTGCATTTCACTGCAGGTGCGTCGCAAGCCGTCGCATCTCATCCGCGAGGAGCTCCATCTTGACGCTGATGAACCACCCTCTGCCTCACTGACCGTCAGCGCACCACTCCCAACAGACTCACCGGTCGGGCTGCGCAAGTGCATCACCTTTGCCGACCTCGTGCTCTTCGGCATCGGGGCCACTGTCGGTACCTGACAACCACACACACGACAAGAAGAGGAAGACGATCATAGCAGAGGTGGGCGTCGGTCTGGCTGCTTGTTGCAGGTGCGGGTATCTTTGTGGTGACTGGTGAGGGCGGCCGCATGGCTGGGCCGGGCCTCGTCTTGTCGTTTGTGACGGCCTGCGGCGGCTGCCTGCTCTCGGCGCTCGCCTACGCCGAGTTCGCCAGCGACATTCCCAGCGCGGGATCGGCCTACACATTCGTCTACAGCAGCCTCGGGGAGCTGTTTGCTTTTCTCAACGGTCTTTTCCTCGTCATGGAGTACGGCCTCTCAGGTAGAGATGAACACACTCATTGATTGGGGCGAGAAGAATCGTGGCTGCCTTTGTGTGTGTCCATCCATCCATCCATCCGTTAGGTGCTGCTATTGCTAAGGGCTGGACGGCCTACGTGACGAGCCTGTTGTCATACAAGAATGCCGATGGCGAGGTCATCAACTACCTGCCACCATTCCTCAGAGATTACCAGGTGCACAGCACAGCACACCGATCACACGGACACACAGGGATCGATGCGGTGCACGTGGTCTCTTTGCCGGCCAGGTAAACGACTGGCTGAGTTGGTCTCCCCTGTCTGGGCTGCTGGTGCTCTTCCTGACGGCGATATCGGTGTTGGGCATCAGCAGCACCAAGGCCTTCAACGGATGCATCACTTTCCTGAACATCGCTCTCATACTCATCTTCGTCGCGACCGGGCTCAGATACACCAGCGCCAGCAACTGGGTAAAACAGAAAGACAACTGATGCATCCAGGCGGCTGACCATGGCATGTGTCAGGATCCCTTCTTCCCCGGCCACTTTAGCGGCGTCATGCAGGCCGCTGGCGTGGTCTTCTTTTCCTACATCGGCTTCGACTCAGGTAGGTGGGTGGTGCGTGTGGCTGGATGTTTCCATTCCCTCGGGAGTGTGTGTGTGTCATCCTCTACTCAGTGACGACGTTGAGTGAGGAGGTTGCGGACAAGCGCATCATCCCGCTGGCCATCTTTGCGTCCCTCTTCATCGTCACCACCCTATACTGCCTCACCAGCATTGTACTCACAGGCAAGACATGTCAAGCGGCACCACACCACACCACACACACCGACATGGCGCCTCTTGATGAATGAATGGTTTTTACCGTTTGGTTAGGTATGGTGGCCTCCCCCGAGTTGGATCTCGGCACGCCCCTCGCGTCAGCATTCAAAAAACACGGAGCAAACGCACTCGCATTCCTCGTGAGCAAGCGTGACACCGGCAGTCGATCCATGGATGGATGGATGGATGTGTTTGTATCCGTGTGTCCATGTGTGTGTCAGGTGTCCTTGGGCGCTGTGACGAGCACCATGGCCACGAGCCTGGCGAGTCTGGTGGGGCAGCCGCGGATATTCTATCGCATGAGCTGCGACGGCCTGCTCTGGCCAATATTCGGTCAGCGTCCACACACCTGTGGCTGTGACACATCCATCCTTTCTCACGTGTGTATGTGGATTGTGCGTGAGGATTGGATGCAGCCAAGGTTGACCGTCAGCGGCAGATCCCCTTCTATGGCGCCCTCATCAGCGGCATCTCGTGTGCGCTGCTCAGCGCCCTTGTCAACTTCGGTTGGATAAGAAGAGACACACAGCACGCCCTCCACCTCCCCCCATCAATCGTCGCCCTGCTCTTCTCCAGGTGCTTTGGTTGACGTTATATCTGCCGGGACGTTGCTGGCATTCACCTCGGTGTGTGCGGGTCTCATCATCAGGCGGGCCGACAGCCCCACCGACCAGCATCAGCAGGTGCCGAGATACGAGGCCGTTCCCACAGAGGAGGACCCCTCCACAGCCCCGCCCCTATCCACCATCGACAGCAGCATTGACAACATGTCATCGTCGCCGGATCTCTCCGTCAGTGAGCCATCCAGCCCCCAGGCGGCCAACGACACGCCATCTGCAGCAGCATCGCCGCAGCCAAGGAGAGCAAGTGATGGGTCGAGCGGGAGGGTGGGGCATGTGCGAGACATGGGTGCCGAAGGGGCGACGGCAGCGAGGGTGCGGTGGAAGGCGCGGCTTGGGTGGGCGGTGGGTGGGTACTTCTCATCGTGCATTGCGTTTGGCTACGCTGTGGTAGGAAGGAGACCAAAAGTCTGCCACGACTGTCTCTATGCATCAGTGTGTCTATATCGATGTATGCAGGCCAGCACCACCTCGTCTCTCCTTGTCTTCGCAGCCGTCTTCCTTCTCATTTCGACCGCCGCGGCCGTCGCCTACTCCTACCGCATGACCCTCAGGAGCCCCCCCGCTCCCCCACCTCACCCACCAGTACCGCCACCAGCCGCCCTCAGCGGCACCGCAGACCCATCAGTCGTGGGCCGGCCGTCCTCGCCCACATATCGTCCCAAACAGCGGCACTCGCTCGATGAGGAGGGAGAGAGCGGCGGCATTGAGATGACCGCCATGCCGTCGCGAGAGAGGGAAAGCGATGAGGGCGGGGTGGGACATGGCGGTGAGGGTGAGAAGTACATGAGGGGTGGTGGTGGTGGTGATGGTGATAACGGGTTTCGGTGTCCCTGTGTGCCGCTGCTGCCGATGGTTGGGATGCTCATCAACTGCTACCTTGTCTGCAGCTTAAAGGTACGCACACAGACAGACATGCCCACATATGTGTGTCAGGCAAAGAGCGTGTGTGTGTCTCAGGTGGATGCCTTTTATCGCTGTGTGGCGACTGTGGTCCTGGGTTTGGTCATCTACCTGGCATATGGCGTGCACCATAGCACAATGGAGCGGCAATACAATTAAGGAGGCCACTCACTGAGGGATGGAGGGAGGGCTATTTGCAATTTGGTCAATGAAGGCTGCACAGTGCACTCTTCGTCTCTTGCCGCTCAAGTGCATGAGCGACTGGTGGTGGTGTATAGCAGCGGTCGACGATGACACGTGCCATCGTGTGTATAGCTTGACTTGACCGACACACACAATTGAATGATCTTTTCAAGCCTCAAAACATCACAATACTGATCGAACGGGCAAGAAAAGTCGCAGGCGCACATGCGAAATGCAACAACACGCTCCCACTACTAAGCAGACCAAGAACTTGCATATCAGCCACCGATTCCCTTGGCTGTCCGTCCGTCCGTCTCGAGGTCGCTCAATTCGCTTTCAGGAATGCCTCAAATCTGTCGACCTCCTCGGCAGTGCCGCAGCACATCGGCAGCCGATGCTCCATCTTCTCTATCGCCTGTATGAACGCACCCATTCACACCCACCCACACACACAGCCAGCGTGAGTGAATGGTATGGGCGTCGCGTCCACTCATCATCAACTGACCACATCGAGGACGGATTTCTCCCCTCCCACAGTGGTCTTGCCGCCGGCCGCCTCGATCAGAAATGCGATGGGCGCACACTCGAAGACCAGCCGCAGCTTGGCCGGCGCCTTGTCGGAGGCAGGGTTGCAGAAGACACCCTGCCCCTGCACACACATACACACGCATACGTGCGCGCGTGTGTGTGTTGTGTGGATGGATGGATGGATGTGTGTGTGTGTGTGGACGCACGTACCTTGACGAACAGCTGGTACACGTCGGGCACCAGGCCACCTGTGTACCGCAGCGTGTAGCGCTTCTCGAGCCAGTACTCGATTAGCTTCCGATAGGCCACACTGTCCTGGTTGGCCCGCAGGTTGGCCGGGGCGAAGATCTTGGCGCCTGAGGGTGCGATGGAGGTGGTGGGGCGGCTGAGGATCCACTGATCGGCGGCCTGCAGGGTGTACTCCTGAGGGGCTATGTTGTTGCCGGTGACGAGGAGGGTGGCGCGAGGGCCATACACAGCCAACATGCTCGCCACCTGCTGACGACCTGCAACACACAAGAGAGAGAGAGAGAGAGAGAACGTGCACCACACGGGAGCATAGCATGTGTTTGGATGGGTCTGAAAGCTGACTGACCTGTGACGCCGATGAGTGAGTCCTTTCCCTTCCATTCGAACCCGTTGGCGCCGATCTTCCATATGGCGATGATGGTGCCAACGGTCCAGTTGCAGTCGACAATGGAGCTGCCGTCCAGCGGGTCCCAACACACCACATACCTCCCGCCCTCAACCAACTCCTGAATGACACACCAACCAGCCAACCAGCCAATATGAAGACAACAGAACCATACACGCCTGCACCTGCATCACAGATCTGACTGATGTATCTGCTCACCTTGAGCTCGGGCTCCTCTTCACTCGCAGCCGCCTTGACGAGGCCGCATTTTTCGGCCTCGGCGAACATGATCTTGTCGGCGATGACGTCCACCGTCAGCTGCACGTCGCCGAACTTGTTGGAGGTGCCCACAGAGGTCACCAGGGAGGTGCTCAGCGCCCTCGCGATGTCCTTGCATGCCTTCGCGAAAGTGCCGAGAAGGCTCTCGAGCTCGGGATCTTTGACCACCTTGAGGCCGTCCTCCAGCGCAGGGCCGCCAGCCGACGCCATTCCGCTCCCTTTCTCCTCCCTACCTTTCTAAGCTCGCAAATGGGAGATGACTGATCTGACTGCATTAGCTGTCTGTCGGCGTGAGTGAGAGATGTAGGGCTCGTCATTGAAGCAGCATTCAACCGCACTCATTGCTTCGCGAGATGAGCCCCTTCACCGGTTCTCAGAGTCTCTGAGGAGGCCTCGGGCTGGTGCGGGTCGGTGCGGACAGACATCGCACAGCCCCTTCAGTCATTCTGCATCAGGTCCGTGCCGATCACTCGTTTGTGCAGCGGGATGATGAAAGAACACTCACTGGATGGATGGACGGATGGATGGGGTGGCAGATGGTGCAGATTGACGGCGATTTGGTATCAATCAATTGATCTTTGATCATCTGGTAAGCATGAAACACGAGCTGACGGCTGTGGCACATCCATTGCCTCGGTTCGCTGCTGTGCAGGTGTTTCCTTGTCGTGAATGAGTGAGTATGGATACCATCATGACGAGCACACAGGCGGCAGCCGCAGGTGGGCTGGAGGCGGGCACCACCACACACGCATACACATGACGGCTCATGCAATCATGAGTGTGTAACATTCGTGTGTGTCAGCCGCCGGAGCTGGCAATTCGAGTAGCAGCGACACCCAAACGGAGCAGTCGGTGAGCCATCGCAATGAAGGCAGGCCTCCAATCAAGACACTCGTCACCGCATGATATCGATGATGTCGCGTCTTGTATGCAGAGTCTTTTCGGCGACATCTACAGTACTTTCACTGGCCTGAGACGACTGCATTCGCAGTCAGATCTCGTGCTCCACAAACACATCAGCCAGCACCCATTTCTCGTTTGTGTGTGTGCAGGGGCCGCCGGAAGGACTCAATTACCTGTCGACCAAGACCAAGGTGAGAGGGAGAGGGGCACACGGAGGGGTGCGTGTGTGCGTTGTCTGACGTGTGTGTGTGTATGGTGTGTGCGTGTGTGTGCAGGAGTCGCCGATGAGCACATCTCGTGTGGAGATAGCCAAGGCGGCTCTGTCGGACCTCACTGCATCGATGCAGACGTACAACTCCGCCATATCGCGTCTGAAGGGCCTGGCACTGGTACGCAACGATGGACGAAGTTGCAGGTGTGGTGCACGCCGTGAACTTATCTAGGATGTGTGTGTGTGTGTGTGTGTGGTTTATGCACGCAGCTGGAGGGCAACGCCAAGTTGTTTGCACTGGTCCCCAAGAAGACCACCACGCCAAATGAGAAGCCGGTACACACTGCACGTGGGCCTGTTGAGCCTTGCCCCCACCATGTGGCTGGTGTGTGGTGGTGTCTGCAGGCCGATGTCGGTGCCGAGAGCTCCCGTAACGATGCCACGTCATCGTCGCCGTCCGCTGCTGCTGCTGCTGGTGGTGGTGGTCCTGCCGCTTGCCCCGACCCACAGCTGTTCGTGCAGCGGCTGTACAGGCTGCCAACCGAGCTCCACCACACCCTCGCCAAATGGATCGGGTCAGAGGGCAAGGAGGCCGCCACCCTCAAGCTCAGCACCACCATGGCCAACACATCACATGCCGGCAGCAGTGCCGTGGAGACCGCCGTGACGGCCGCCATCGACGGCCTCATCAACGATGAGCACAAGCGACTGACGGACATCATCGACTACCAACCACTCCGTCAGTCGGCCAGTCGCCGTCGCGTGTCCCGGCTCATTCGGCTGCGGTATGTCCTCGAGATGGGGGGCGACTGGTCGGGCAGTGTGCCGCTGCTTCGACTGGCCAAGAACTGCAAGCGCATCCAGCAGTTGCCCCTCCAGCTGAACGAGGGCGATGTGGGGCGTGCGGGCAGCAGGGCGGACATTGACAGCCGGCCGGCGAGTATGCGGCAGTATGGCCTGATTGGCCATCGTCTGGGCTTGGAGATGACACGACGGGCGGGGTGGGAGTGGCTGGGATGGCTCTGGGTGAGCATGCACACGCGTGAGACGGTCCCGGCCCGCTACAGAGATGCCTTCAATCCTGCCGACCCTCCCTGCGACGGTAAGATAAGCGATTACGTGGGAAATCTGACACGTTTACCTGTGTCGTGTTCTCCTTTGGCTGTCTGCAGGCTCTGTGTATCGTATAGCAGATGGATATCATGTGTATCGTAGCTTCCACGAATTGGCGACAGACAGGTACGCAACCAACAGCTGCGAACACAGCATGGCAGCGTTTTGCCTTCCCTGCCTTCTCCCAGGATCGTCGCCCCCCCTGCCACCTGGAGGATTGAGCTACCGGCGCGGCGTCGTGTGGGACCGCCCTACCATCCTGCGTCGTCTGCTGCATCTGTTCGCATCGCTGAGCTCATGGCCCAGCCGACGCGAATTTGGGGCGGCCACACCATCGACCGCGACTGCAACTACTCCAACGGCACCAACTACCGCATCGTCATCCTGTGCGGCGACCACGCAGCCGATGACTTCGCGGCATACATCACGATGGGCAAGGAGGAACATGGAGAGACATACATCGACCTCTTCAGCAACGAGGGGCCCCAGGGCGACGGCAAAGGTGTTGCGGACAGTCCCCAGGCGGCGGTGCTGGCTCGCACGAGGATGGGCGGCGATGCATGGCTGATCCCGCAGCTCAGCGAGGCGATACCTACAGGTGTGAACGAGCATACAGGGGAGGACAGGAAGAACAGACCTATTTGTGGGTTGTATTGTGTCCAGGTGGTCGTGGTGAGAGTGGAGGCCGCTCTGCAGACGACCCACCCGCACCCGCGCAGCCCTCGTCAGACATGGTAAACCCAATGAAGCCCTTGCTGCGTTTGTTTGGTATCGCTATCTGCTCTGGGTGCGTGTCTCTGTGGGCGTGTCAGGGGTACACCGTCCCTGATGCTGCCGCTGCTGGTGATGTTGGTGTCGGTGATGGTGTTAGTGGCGGGTCCAACGAGGGCGACATGCAGATGGGCAATTGGGAACTCGGTGAGTGCGCGTGGGGCAATCAATCGACACACAGGGTGACCTGCACACACTGGGGGGGGACAATGAGTGTGTCTTGTGTCAGATTCGGTGGCTGACGGTGCGGCGGGAGGCCCTCGAGGGCAGAAGCGCGGACGGTCCGATGAGGAGGCAACACTCCAGGGCAGCCCTCAGCCACACAACAGGTCACACACAGTCACAACAGACAACGGAAGCGACTGTTGATGTCTGTGTCTGTCTGTCCTGTGTGCAGCAAGCGGTTCGCTGCGAAGAGGCCCGACAAGTAGAGAAGATGCCCATCAAGCCGACACTCGCTCAATGCCATGTGTGCAGTAGCTGTAGCCCGTAGACGACGCTTCTTGCCTTCTGGATGTCTGGTGGTGCATGGTCACGTCATTGCAACGAGTGGCAATGAGTGTACGTGGTGTGTGGAAAGGTCGAATGCCAATCATCAGCCAGTCGCTGACCATAGTCAACATTGATTCATGCTCCATTCCCGCATTTGTCCGCACCAAGACAGGAGAGAGCGTAGATGCAGGCATACCACATCGACGGTTGGTCTGGTGCGGGGTCCAAATTTGCCTACAGCATGCTCCATTGCTCATTTCTCATTGCTCATACCTCACCAACACACATGTACTAAAGGGTCGTACACACGAAACACCCACGAAAAACACAAAAAAACAAAACCCGGCCTCGGCTGCATAGAGCTAGACATCACACACACACAACATACGCCCACACCCAACGCGCTAAACCCGCCAACACATTTACCATCTCACTCAGCCGGCCCCTGTGTGGCTAACTCGGTCGCTGCGTCATCAGGAAACATGTCGACATCAAACCTATACGCATATCGGTGCAGCTGCCTGCCCGAACGCAGCGCCTCACTGGCCCTCTCTGCCTCCTCTTGGTTCAGCTCCTGCCGTCCATCCCACATCAGACGGATGCCGTGGCACAGAGAGAGCTCTCTCACTCTCATCTCGTACCCCGGCAGCCTATCGCGGAGCTCCCCGCGCAGCCCGGCCCTCCGCACGGCGTGGGTGTGGTCGTACATCTGCGCGAATGTCTGCTTGACAGCGTCCGTGTCTCGGGGCTGCCTGAAGTGGTCTGCCGATATGAGCACGTTCGTCAGGTGGGCCTCGGCGGGAGCGACGCACCGGATGAAGCGACAGATGGACGTGAGCTCCTCGCGCACCTGATGACACAGATACAACCCAGCAACACGTGTGCGGCCATTTTGGGCGCTTTTCCCCTCTTCTCACCTGCACATCATCTTGTGCGATGTCCGCAAAGACGTTGGTCTTGACGGCCACAGTGAAGCGAGTGATCCTTCCGTAGTCACGCGCGAGGGCGGGAGGAGGCACAATGACGACTGGCAGTTCGTAATGGCCCAACCTGTATCCCAGCTGCCCCGTCACCTGCATCTCGACCTCCTGCAGTGGCTGGTCATCTGGCCCCCTTCCGGCGGACACATAGGCCAGCAGCTCAGACGCCATGATGCCTTCGATGGAACGCATGGTGACGCGCTCGACGGACGGCAGTCTCGACAAAAGGCTGCTCAGCGGGTTCGGTGTGGAAGGGACGAAGAGGCTGCCTGGCGGCTGGTTCGCGTAGCCGACACTGCAGAGCTCGAGGTCCGTGACGGCCGCCAGGGCACCGTCCTCGCCGAGCCAGTCAGGGAGTGACGCAAATGAGAGCTCGTCAGTGTCGGAGTCGGGGTTCTGGTATGCCACCTCGAGGCGCTTGACGTCGCCAAAGGCCACATCGCGGAAAAGGGGGCTGATTGCTGGTGCGTTGTCGCCGTTGTCATAGAAGACCTTCACCTCACTCCCACCTCTGCTGTGCCGCTTGATGCTCTCCACCAACGCCTCTTGGGCAGCCGACGGCACGGGTGCGCCGGGCGGGGGGTCGGGCAGCCCGTGTTCCCGATAGGTGGACGTGCAGTCCAAGATGGCTTGCCTCCGTCCCTGACGACATCCCAGCCCCTCTTCTCTGCCGTCTGGATGAGATGCAGGGTTGTGGTGCGCCCCGGGGCCGATATGCTGTACGGCAGACTGGGGTCGACTTTGATCGGACAGAAGAGACGAAGCTGCCGCCTGTTTGGTGGCTGTCTGGTGTACGGGGCCGTGCTGCTGCTGCTGCTGTTGCTGCTGCTGGTCTGTGGGTGAGATGGGGGGTGCGGAGAGAGGTGTCGCAGGAGGGCCTCGGCCACTGCTGCCGGTCGGCGCTGCCAAAAGACATCGGCCGTCATGACGTTGCCCGCGTTCTGCAGGTAGGACGAGAGATGATCCGACGATATGTCATCATGGTACATCAGCAGATGGCCGAGATGCTGCAGCTTCGTTCCGGTGTTGCGCAGGGCACCCACAGTCCGGCGCATGTCGATGGTCGGCGTGGCGCGGTTGGATGGGTGCCCTCCCCCGCTGTACGCCGAGGGATGGCCCTCGTCGATCACCAGGGGAAAGACGTTGAGATGCCTCAAATCGGGAGAGGAGCCGATGATGTGCGCCAGGCCGACATCGAGAGCCGTGATGTTGAGGGAGTCATGGAGATGCAGCCGCATCTGTGTCTCAAACAGGCCCATGAACGACTCAGTGGTGAGCAGCCGGCCAGACAGACGACGGAGGGCCGGGAAGACGCACCGGTGCCGGTAGAGCATCAGCAGTGCCTCCACGCTGTTGACCTTCAATGACGTGACGGCGGGGAACACGACATAGTCATCCCCTTCGAGCTGCGAAACATCAGCCCCACCAGCCTGGCGCTCGCTGACAGTCTCCTTCCCCCCGTCACGCCCGAGCTGGATAATCTTGATCTCCTTGAGAGTCTCGCGGTGCTGCAGCAGACTGCCTATGGAACGCTCAAACACCGACTCTCGCACACTCGTCATCTTGGCCGGCATGACCACAAGTGCCCGCTGCCCGCCACCTGCTGCACCGTCACCATCACTGCCGCCACCAGCTGAGCTGCTACACAACGCGTCGGCATTCTGTCCGCTGACCGCATTGTTGACGACACAGATGAGGCCACGGATAGCATGGTTGACGGCGCGGCAGACGGCCGTCAACGACAGACGCTCCCTCGTAGCGAAGAAGGCGCAGATCTGCCACAAGAGGGTCCGGCAATCCAGCACAGAGATCAGGCCGGGCGGCGGTGCTGCTTGGTCTGCTTCGCCAGTCACGTCAGGCCTCTGCATGCTGGGAATCTTCCACCAACTAGCGACGACAGAGAAAAAACGCAAAACCGCAGGGTTCATGGGGCCTAGGGTTTCCTCTGAACCCTGCTCCCGAGAAAAGGGAAAGATCTTGGCGTTTGAGGCCTCAGGCAGTTCCGTAGCGGAGAGGAGGCGTACGTTGATTTGCATCGTCCACCGATATGAGGACGGTGCTGCAGCGCATCATCCCTGCGGCCTCGACGCCCCGTTCGGTGTGTGTGCGCAACCTGGGCAACGCCGCACGCGGCCCCCCTCTCACGCCATACAACGTACACTCCCAATCAAGACACGACGGAAGAGGCGAAAGAGGCTGCGCTCATCTCGTGTGCCTGTCTGTCTGTGTGGGGATGGTATGTGCCTGCAGGTGCCAGCCCACTTCCAGAATGCGTGTGATCTGTTCGTGAACCCGTCGAGCAGCTACAGCGGTTGGGTGCAGCAGTGCGAGTCGCTCCGGATGTTTGTCTTCTGGGGCGTGGTGGCCGGGGTGACCATCGACCTCATCACCAACCCACCCAAGTCGTCCTACTGGCTGCGCTACTCGCCTCGCAGATGGGGCCCCGCACTCATGGGGATGTTCTCGGGCGGCAGGGGGGAGGGGCTGTTCCTAGAGGGACCGCTGCCCTTCTCGGTGGACGTGGGGCAGCTCTACAAGACAGAGATGAACAAGTGATCAGGCAGAGAGAGAGGGAAGGGAGAGAGAGAGAGGCGAAAGAAACTCTTCGTGTATCTGGTTTGATCGTGTGTTTGTGTTTGTGCCGTGGCTGCTCGTTCCCGTCGGGTCGTTGAAGGAGGGCACAATCGGGTCCAAACGATTGATGCCCTTCTCAACGAGTGGGATGGAACGGGCAGTCTCGGCACACCACGACACACAAAGGAACTCAGGAAAGACTGCGTGTCCCATTTGGTTGTCTGTCCGGGTTAGGCAAGAGAGGGTGCTGTGTGCAAGATGAGATGTTGATTTGCGTGTGGCGGCTGTTGTTCGATCGGCGTCCGTCTCTCGGCAGTGGCTCAGACACACAGCGCTCATCTCTGCTGGGCGTCGTGTGGTCTAGTCCTTAGTCGGGCGACGGCCGCCGATCGAGCTCAGCTGCTGGACGGGAAATGTGAAAGAGATCATGCCATAATTTGGTGGCAGAGTGGACGGCCAAATGGGATGAAACATAACATGGGTATTTCTTTCTTCGCTTACTTCCTCGTGCATCAGTCAATCAATGCGAGTCCCAGTCGACAAAAAAAACCCCTGGCTGGCTGATGATTGTCCTAATCCACGACGCCCCATCCACCAACTTCTGCCAGCCAGCTAGACTCACAGCCAAATAGACAGAAAGCCCTCACGAGCCAGTCAATCCATCCACGACATCCGCCCTCATCCCTTTCCCTCCTCCCTCCCTCTCTATCTGCTAGTCAAGGCCGCCTCCGGCTCCAGCAGCCGACTACCCACATGTGTGTTATCCCCCAATCTGCCCCTGGCCGTGCGGCACTCGCTCCACGGCTCGCCGAAGCAGCACTGGCCCAGCTGGTGCGGCGGCGACACGGCAGCAGCTGCCATGCTGCGAGACAGCGGCGGAACAACCTGCTGAGGCGGTGGGGGTGGTGGTGGTGTTGCTGGCACTGTCTGGGGGCCATAGCAGCATTTGCCCGACATGGCTGCCTTGGGTGCAGGGGGCGGAGGGGGCGCCAGAGGCATGATTGGGGGGAAGCGTTGATGCGGGCCGGTCTTGAGCAGTGGAATGTCCTCCGGGCGGGCGTAGAGGGACATGTGGTGGATGGCGAATGGCTGCTGCTGCTGCTGGTTGTGGCGGGCCCCCTCTCCTCTGAAGAGGTCGCTGAGGCGCTGTCCGCCTTTCTGCTGCTGCTGCTGCTGCTGTTCCGACAGGACCTGCTGCATTCTGTCGCTCATCTGCCGCTGGTACTTCTTGCCCTTCGTGGCCGCCTGCTCCAATACCTCGTGCGCCTTGGCCAGACTCTGCACACAACGCAAGCAGGGCAGGCAGGCAGACAGACAGCCGACAGAAGACACAGACAGAGAAGCCATGTCTATCTGGATGAATGCGTGTCGGAGCGGTGGGTGTCTTGGTTGCCTCGTTGGTGAGATTTCTTTCCAAGGTGATCCGGCCGATTTGACCGGTTATGGCCTTCTGAGTCTCCATCAGCCTATGCACAAGAGACACACACACATATCCGTCATGTGCAGAGAAGGAAATGGTCCGATCGGCCGGTTGGCTGACCGGCGTTTGTCGTTGGTGAGGTGCTCGATGGTCGATTTGGCCTCATCCAGTGCCACCTTCTGCTCATGCACCAAACGACGCAGCCGCTGGATTTCTGTCCACACGCAGTACACACAAAGAAGGACTGCCAACCCTCCCTTCTCCCTCTCGCTGCTGGTTCACCTTCCTGTGCCTTCTGCAAAGGCGAAAGTGTCTCTCCTGTTCCTTCGTCCCACAGCTCCACGTCGAGGTCGATTTTCTTGCCGGTGTCCTTCTCGTACTTCGCCTGCAGGCCATTGCAGAGAGAGAGAGAGAGAGAGAGGGAGCACACGGCTCGATGACCAGGTCGCGGAGTGAATCGGGCCTCTTCTTGGCGCGTTTGATTTTACCTGAAGGTATGCTACGTGCTGCCGCAGGATGTCGCTCTCACGCTCGGCCTCCATCTTGGCGCTGATGTGATCCTGCAGCGAATGGGCAAACGCCTCCTCATCTGACAGACAGACAGACAGAGGAGAGAAACGTCTCACTCGGCAAGAGGGACTGCTGGTGCCTGGTGCTTTAATCACCTTGTGAGTGTCTCTTCTCCAGTTCCCTGAGCACACACAACCACAGAGAAAAAGACAGGAGTGCCGTGTCGGAGCCCCGGCCGCCGTGGCCTCCCGGGATCTGCACCGCGTGCTCGTCGCTCACGCATATTTCTTTTTCAGATTCTCAGGCGCCTCTCCCGGAGCAGGGGCCGGGTCGTTCTTTGGTCGAGGAGTGGCTTTGCTCTTGGGGCTGCTGGCCTTGCCGCCAGACCCGGTGTGCTTTGATGCGGGCGATGCTTTCTTTGGGGCTATGGCTTTCGAGGCGGGCAGCCCTCGCTCTTTCGTGGCCATCGTGAGACCGGAAAGAGGAGGGAAAGGGAGGAGGGGGGG